GGCGAGTAGAAAAGAATAGAAGCCAGCAATGAGAAGCGCGCAGCTTAATTGCAAGCTCACTCGTATAACACAGTTACAACAACTCTTTACATGCATTCAACATCCCACTAATACTACTGCAACATAAGCAGCCAATCACGACGCAAGCGAAGAATGAAATTGTTCATCCAAATTGAATTAAGTGAATTTTTACATGATTTGCGAAAGTCTTTAAGCTAAACCTTGCTGGAAATTGTTTTGTGAATCTTTTTTAAAGGCAATGCCAAATATTTATACAAAAAGTAAAGAACCCCACAAATGTAGGCCACCTAAAGTCACATGTTTTCAGCTCCCTTTGCAGAATCAATCGCATTCACCCCAATTAAACCCAAAATGCAAATTAAGAAGCCAATATAAACAGTATCAGACCCAAATCAAAACCGCAAAAAGCGTTGTTCACAGGCAAACATTCCAGCATTTCAGTATACCATTCAAAGACAAAGGCACTTTTCTTTGATACTTAATTAAACATGCACACAGAGCGATGGATGCTGCTGTAGATGGGCTGGCACAGGACCTGCCAGGGATACATTGTGTCCTGCCTCGGCCAAAGTGTTGGCCAGAACTTATCAAAATGCAAACAATGAGCAAGAAATTCAGACAGCCACTTAACGTTTCACTCAGTCTCAGTCACTCAGCCGCTCAGTCTAAGTTTCATTTTCAGTTTCAGTCCCGGGCAGAGAAATGTCCGTTTTATTGACGCTTGACTCTCGACGGTCAGTCGGGGAGATGCTCGCCTGGCTGGCTTTGCTTTCATTGTTATGACTTTCATTGTTATGGACAGACAAACTGAGCCGGCTGCCTCACGTCTGCGGTGCCGACTGCAGTTGTCATTTCTTATCAGTAGCAGCAGCAGCTGAGCTGCCGAACATTTCCCACTTTCACGTTCACGTTCTCTCAATAACATTTCTGGCTTTGTTTCGCGCCATAATTTGGTCTCGGCCTTTTTCAGATGCCAAACTTATCGATTGGCCTTTGTGCCAAGCTGAAAGTTAAGCGAAACTTAATCAGGCGCAGCAACAACAGCAACAGCTGAACGGACTATACGACAACTGAAGAATGCTTTTGTATTGCCATCGGATTTACACTCAAGCAGCTTTATTGTTCTAAAGCCTAATAGCCCTGTGATCCAGTTTGTAATTCTGGCTACATGTGCAGGAAATGACAAAATTCCAATTTCTCATGTTTCGGCTAGAGAGTTAAGCAGCAGATTAACAGTTTGTCAAGCAAACATACAGCAGAGGATTTAATATTTAGATTGAAGCAGAGTCTGCTTGCGTTATATATTAATATGATATAGTTGTTTTTTTTTTTTTTTTTTTTTTTTTTTTTTTTTTTTATCGAGACCCCAAGCTGTCGTTCGCCTGAACATGTTTGTAAGCTTATTTAACATCGCTTTAGAATTTTCGTAGTAAATTTGCCTAAGCCATTGCGATAAAGAGCAAAAGCATGTAAGGGACATCGAAATCCTGCCAAATACATACGTTCACGCCCCAGTTAAAATTCACCCCCGCTGGCGCAGTTACACTAACGATTCGGCGTGTAATTTTTCAAAACCCCCGCCCCCCATTGCCACAAACACTCACACGCACACATGTGTAAAGATTCGTGCGAGTGAAAATACTATGTCAGTTTGATTAATCATCTGACGAAATGAGCGAAATACTTGAGCAGCGGCAGCACAGTGTTGGTAAATGGCGTCAAATCACAAATCACAATAAATAATGATCGGGAGCGAAACCCTTTTCGTTTTTATTTATATTTTTTGTAAGAAAAGGGGAAAAGGTTCTGCGCCCTCGTCTCGTCATTGTAGCCAGTCAATTCTTTAACGACTACTGATGGCACATTTATGTAAATCAAGCGACGCCGCACAGGAGTCAATGTTATTGGCGGCTGCAGCGCCAGCTGGCGCTCATTGGCTCAGTCGCCGCTGATTAATGATATGCGTAAGACCGCCCGAGCCGTTGGATGGTAATTATTTTTAATATGTTTCTTGGCTGTCTGTAACTGGCATTTGATTAATATTTGCAAATCAAAGGAAGTTTTCAATACTTCAAATAAATAAAAAAGTGAAAAAAAAAATTAATTAAAACGACTAGAGTATGCGCTGTAATTATAGCCAGTAGTCTATTAAAATTAAATATTAAATTAAAATCACTAATTATAAATATATTTTAAAAGAGTTTTAATAATTTTTTTTAGTAATAGTAATATTAAT